TCACTCAGCCAGCACAAGACAAACCAGCCCCTCCCTCCCCCCAAAACCCTCCTCCATTTCCTGATATAGGAAGAAATATTTGCTAAACATATATTCATTTAAGAGAGCAAGCATACTAATTGAATATAAACATATTGTTCAGGGACTCTGAATCCAAACAGTCCTGAGGTTAAAATTAAACTGAATGCAATGTCAGTTTTAGAACTTTCTTTTTCCTACCACCATGTGGCTCAATACACCAAATAATACACCAAATACGGAATTCAAGAAAGCTTTGTTACTGAATCCTCTAAAAAGATTACTATTCATACAGTAGTGTCCTGCACTTTCTGCACCCTATTTCATCTGTCTCTCGGTACTTAAGAAAAAACACCTCTTACTGTATCATGTCTCATAGTAACTGAGATCTACAATGCTGAGGCTGCCAGCCTCATGCTGGAAGGTGCTGGTGAGAGACCATTCAGAAAAACTTTAATTTACTTCCCACTGTGGTCCACCAAAGCCAAGATCTTACAGATACACGGTAAAATCCATTTGTTCTCTCAGGAGTTCATGGGGAGGGTTAACACAAAGGTTGGACTGGACAACACAGTTTTTTTAAGATACAAGGCTGTTCTCTGTGTTTGTACAGCTGTTCTCATTTTATTAAAAACCACAATTGTATACATTTGACAGTATACCTAGAGTGTCACATAGCAAAGAATAAATTCAAGCACACGGTATTCAATTTGCTAGAATTTTAAGTTCAACAAAGATCCTTTAAGGAAAAGCAATCTACAATATTACCATCATTAAAACATATGGGCATTTTCTTCATATTACAGCTTTATGAATTCTTGTTTAACCCACCCTTGCACTCAAAAAATTGTAGGATTCATAACCAAAATCACTTAAGGAGTACTGTATAGTATCAAAATCTTGTAAAACTTGACATAAGAACAGAAATCACTTGGGGTTTTTAAAAACACAATTATATAATAGCATGGAAGAATTATAGCTCATTTCCAAATGTAATGCCTTACGTTCAGTATCTAAAACTGTATTTTAGACACTGAAATATACACAGCTTGATTATTTCAGCTTTCCTTAAACTGCAAATGCTCAGCACCTAAATGCACGCCATTTATAGGTAGGTGCTTAAAATATTTGGGTGCCTTATTTTAGCCATTAAAACAAACAGTTGACCTACATTTTTACTTACCATCCATTTATCAACAAAACACATGCATAAAATCAGTCCAATGATGACTGCTACAATCCCAAATGAAATCCCAAGTTTTGGAGTTCTGAAACAGAGATGAGAAGTGTTAAACGTGAGTTACAGGTATCATGCCATTATCAAATTCCAACTCATGAGAATACACCTCTTAACTATCTCCTAATTTAATAAAAATAAACAAAAAATTCATTTTTTTCAGTACGAGATGCCCACAAGATAAGGCGTTCTACAGATCAGGGGTGTCAAACATAGGGCCCATGGGCTGAATCCAGCCAGCAGAGCCCACAGGGCTACCTGCAGTCTGCTGGAAGTTTGGGGAAGGGTCGTAGCCAGGGGCAAGTGGCCTGCCTCAGCATCCAGAGCCCTTGGGCCCTGGTGGACATTGCTATCCAAGGCTGGCCTCATTGTCCACTGTCACTGCATGCACACACATACTCTGTGCTGTGCACCACCGCTGTGTGTCCCATGCTCTGTGCTGGAGCTGGAGCCCAAGCAAGCACCTCATACCGCATTCTCCAAAGCACAGCTGTGTCTTGTGCTACAGCTGAAGCCAATACGGTTTGCCCCATGCTCCCTGCTACACCCACCCCTATGCATTCCATGCTGAACACAGCCCTGGCATGAACAAACACATCAGTGGCAGCAGCTCTAGCTCTGGCATGGGGTGTGCAACACATGGTGGAAGCTGCTAGAACCACCCCATGCCCTGGGCAAGAATCTGGCCTACAAGCAGCCCTGTGGTCCAGATCCAGCCCAGGGCAGGAGATGAGTTTGATATCCCTGCCATAAAAAATTGCTGCCCTCCTGTGGCTGAGATCCACTTCCAGGCTCACTATCAATATCTCACTTTCACTGCTCCTTCATTCAAAACACATGCTATTATTATCCTATGCATAAACAATAAGGGCAGCACACTAGAGCAGGCATGAAAACATGTTTGCCAAAGGAAGTTTACACAATCAGAGTTATGATAAAGAGATACTTAACAAGCCAACACCCTTCTTTTGAGTTCCTCCTCCATGTTCCTTTTTCCTCTTAAAGGAAAGGGACATCTTGGCTCTACTTAATCCTTCTCCTCATTTATAGTCAATCTGGTTATGGTCAGATAAACTATCTAAAACAATACATCCTCGTTTAATCAATCTGTGTATTCCTCTGTGTATGTACTGACCATTGTCAAAACACACTACTGAGGAAACACTGTCCATTTTTTTTATGCAGCTGTCCTGGCTCAGGTACCAAAGCTGCCTATATGAATGCAACGTGCTAACAAAGAGCAGGTTAGGATTACACTTGGTTACAGCCCTGCAGGAAGGTCTGGAAGAATGAAAATGTTATTCAAGCAAGAGCTATTGCTTTACCTAGGGGTTCATTTAAAATGTAAAACAATACAAAAAAAGAAAGAAAAAATATGCACTTACTTTGGCATCACAAACATTTGTATCACAAATATACAGAGCAACACAATACTGGCACACGCAAAGTAACTCTTCACTTTTGGGATGGAGATGGTGCGATACTGAAACAGATTATAATCATGTCAGTAAAGAGAATTACAGAAGCCAACTACAGAATTTACTGAGCTTTTTTAAAAATTAGACAAATCTGCCACCAACTATTTTTACCCCCTACAGTTAAAACCAAACGCAAAAGATTTTTTAAAAATCTAATAATAAAGCGACCATTAATTGTCATTCACAGAATAGTTCAAAAGTATTGATTTCCAACTTAAAGTAGTATTGTACTTGCATAACCGATTATTACATTATATGGGAATTCACACAGTGGATACATCTATATGTGCAATTAACACAATACAATAAACTCCAGGGCCATTTGAGCTGGAGTACACTGCTCCCAAGGGCAGGGTTGAGATGTGCATCCATGACAGCAGCAATTTGGGCTAGGGTGGAGCAGCCCTGGCAGGGGAGCACTGGGGGCCAGCTCCAGGCGGTAGCATCAGACAGGGGAGGGGCAGGCGGGAGCCGGAGGTCTGGTCCCTGGCTGGCTGCACTGACAGGGCACAATTTGTGCCCAGCAGTCACCATCTACATGTGTTTGATCTCACTTAATGGCTCTGCTGTAAGATAGGATTGTCCCTGACAGTACTATCTTACAGTGGAGTTAATTAGTTTACTATGTATTAGTGAAGCTGGTTCTTGAGGGGAGTGGGAGGCATCAAGGGGCAGGTGTTCCAGGTACGGGGAAGCTTCATGTGTCCAAATGTGTTTTGCAAAGGGCAAGCAACAGAATGTAAAATGTTTTACTCGTAAAGAGATTTGAAATGCTATGCTGTCCCCATTTAAGTTAAACAACTATAACTGTGAATGATTTGGGCATTAAGAGTAATATTACCATTCATACAGGCCATGCACTGTATCTGCCAATTCTGATACTCTACATACAATGACATGAGCATCTGTTACACTGTGTTGTACAGAAACATTTTAAACGCAGCTTCTTGCTTTTTTAATAAAGATACTCAAAACTAATTAAGTCTCACTGGCAAAACCCCATTGACTTAAATTAGGGCCAGGTTTTAATCTGAATGCTGTAACAGACACCTTTAGTCCGTAGGATTAAGATTGCCAAAAAAGAGTGGATAAGCCAAACAGTCTGCACTACATCACATTACCCAAGACCTCTCTGGGCTGCAGTCACCTCAGAAATCCCAATGAAGAAATAAAAGCACTTTCAACAGTTCTCTTCTGCTTGCATAAATTCCAGTACCAGAACTATCAAAACAAATTGCTTATCCCTTACCAACCTCTTTTTCAAGTCCTGTTTCTACAAAAAAGAGCCAGAATCTACAGAAGTCATCTGATTTACAACACCACGGTCTGCATTGAAACAGAAAGAGATTTTACAAAACAAGGGCAATAACTAAAGTAGCAGGATGCAGAACAGCAAACAAAGCCCTTTAAAAGCCTGAGAGACTGACTCAAAGATCACTTTGTTAGTAAGGTCAACAATTACAAAAGAAATCTATTCTGACAGTTCTGTTAGTATACCAGTCCTCAGAGTAGAAGTGCTAGTGCTGTCAGCACCTGCCTATGTTCTCCAAACTCTGTCCACGTGCGTGCATCAGTTCTTTGCTCCTCAGCTGTTTGTATGCAGAAATGAGACAGAGAACTTCCCACTCCTTTTCTGACCTTCACTCAGCTCATTTGTTTGTACAATGCCCAGGTACTTGAAGTAATGTCTAGGCTTTTTTTCCTCAGCTAGAACACTGTACAGTATAGTATGGACCACTTGCATTGGACATGATCTGTTTTCAGGTACAATTTCTTCATTTTCTCAGAAATAAAATATTGTCCCTGGACAGAATTTTACTGTAGAACAATGTTATTAAGCTATACTAGAACACACTGTAATCACGTTAGAAACAAGGAATATTTAAGAAAGAAAGAAAAACCCAACCAAAAAGAAACAAGCAACAGAAAAAAAACCAAGACAATTACTCCTGCTGGTTCTGGAAAGCAGAGCAGAGGTTGCATCTAGTTTTAAAACTGAGAATGCAGGTTTGCTCAAAAGAAAAGCAGACCCAAGAAGAAGATAATAAAATAATACATACTTGGTCGAACTAAGACCCTCAATGGTTGACATCATTTCATCATAAATATCTTCCTCCAGCCTTCCTTTTTGAGATGTATTTCTGAGAAAAAAAATATATGTATATGACAAAGCAAATTTGTGGCTTATAAAAAGGGATTTATCTCTACCCAAACTTCCAAAGTATGCTGCACAATATAAGCATAAAAGGGTTGTCTCATACTGCTACTATTATTTATTATTCTGATTTTACCATTACAAATCTCTTAAAAATACATTAAAATACCACGAGATGTACCAATTCCAAAATAAGCCCTAAAAAAATTTAAAAACAGGCATAATTAATTTTGAGACTTTTGTTTATAAAGTAAGGTTAAATTCAGATGCTGTAAATACAAAAATATATTTACCTTTATTGAAACCTAAAATAAATAAGTAAAAAACTACTGGGAACATTCAAGTACTACTAACGCAACAATGAAAAAGGAATGAATCTCTTTGAAGTCACCCATTCCCTTACAAAAAAACACTTCTTACTTTTCTGTAGAAAAATAGAAAGGGGGTTAGTGAGGACATACTAGACATTAAGAAGTCCAGAGGGAGAGAATTCTGTGCTTACAGGAATAAAAAGACAAAAAAGAATGTTTATAGTTTACAACTCAAGAAGAATACAATTACATGCATGTAAATCTATACAAACTAACAGAGGAAGGAACACACATTCACGCAAGACAGCAGCTTTAATAGATGAATTAATAACCACTAAGTTACTCATTCAAACAAAATAATTTTGAAGGCAGCCTATCTTCAGTGAGTTGTCAACCTGCATAATCTTCCTTTTATTTTATTTGGCTTACTAACGAAGTCTGAAATGCCAAATTCTGCAGTGCAAAAGTCTATTAACATGAAGTTAGTTTATGTAAAGGTTTAAAAGGTAGAGGTAACATTTGCAATGCATGGGGAATATGGCTTGGTTAGTCTTGTGATACGTTTACTGCAATGTTTATCATTAAAAGATAAATGGGTCGCCAACACAGTCAAATGGGTTGCCAGCTGGCTGGAAGGCTGCACCCAGAGAGTGGTGGTGGATGGGTCATTTTCGACCTGGAGGGATGTGGGCAGTGGGTTTCTGCAGGGCTCGGTCCTCGGGCCTGTACTGTTCAACATCTTCATCAGTGACTTGGACGAGGGGGTAAAAAGCACCCTGTTCAAATCTGCTGATAACACTAAGATGTGGGGGAAAGAGGGCACGTTAGAAGGAAGGAATAGGCTACAATTGGACCTAGACAGGTTACAGGGGTGGGTGGATGAGAACAGGATGAGATCCAACACTGACAAGTGCAAGATGATGCACCTGGGGAGGAAGAACCAGCAGGAGACCTACAGGCTGGGGAACTCCCTTCTCATCAGCGCAGAGGCAGAAAAAGATCTTGAAGTCATTATTGATGCCAAGATGAACATGGGCCGGCAGTGTGGGGATGCAGTCAGGAAGGCCAACCGCACCTTGTCATCCACAGATGCATCTCAAGCAGGTCCAGGGAGGTGATCCTCCCCCT